AAATATTAATAAAACTATTTTTTTTGTAATTTTCGTTTTTATGTAAGGATAAAATATAAAGTATTAATTTTTGTATTTTTCAAAAATTAAAATGACTACAAAACATTAATAGAACTATATTTTTGGTTATTTTCGAAATTATATAAAGTACAAAAATAAAGTGCAATTTTTGTATTTTTCAAGTTTATGAGAGATACATAAACTAAAATTTATATATATATTTTTTTGTAATTTTCTTTTTGCAATAAAATAAAGTAAAAATAGTTAAAATAGCTATACTAGACCCAATTTCACATATTCACGCTAAAAATGTGAAAATTCTCGGTGAGGGTCAAAAATCCGGTGTCTACACCGGGGCCCTCCGGGGTGATTTCGAATGGTGGACAGAGAGTTTGGAATTTTTGGTGAAGCTGCAGATTTTTTACTTCTGATGTTTCCGCACCTGCCGATTTAGGGACCGCAGATGCGAGGAAGAAGGCCGCAGAAGCGGTTGGTTGACCGCAAATGCGGTACCGCAGAAGCGGTTGGTTAATCGCACCTGCGATGGCGCAGGTGCAGAGTTAGCATCGCAGATGCGGAAAGTTGGGACTTAAGTGAAAAACCGCAGAAGCGGTTGGTTGACCGCAAATACGGTACCGCAGAAGTGGGAATTGGGCCGCAGATGCGAAATCCCTGGGCCAGAACATATAAATTGCTTCCTTCGCGATTTTTGAGCTATTCCACCATTTCTAAGTCGGCTTTGGAGCTTTTTGGACGACTCTGAAGAAGGGTTTCAAGGAAACTTCATTGAGGTAAGGATTTTGGACCTAAAACTTGTTCCAATGGTATTATTTCACGGATTAGAGCTATAATTAATGGAATTTAAGTGTTAAAATTGGGGAAACTAGGGCTTGGTATTGGAGACCTAGACTTGAGGATTTGAAGGGTCATTTGTTGTCGAATTTTGGTATTTTTGATATGTATGAACTCGTGGGGAGATAAAGAATCTATTGATGCGAATTTTATCGAATTCCGAGATGTGGACCTGGGGGTTGGGTTTTGGTAATTTCGGAATTTATGTTGTAAATTAATTATTTTCGCTTGGGCTTCGTTCCCTTAGCATATTTTGACATTGTGATTCTGATTTTGGAAAGATTCGATGCGAGTGGAGGCCGATTCGAGGGGCAAAGGCGTCGCGGGCTAGAGTTTGGAACGGATTGAGGTGAGTAATGATTGTAAATGATGTCCTGAGGGTATGACACCCCGGATTTGCACATCGTTGTGCTATATTGAGGTGTGCACACACTAGATGACGAGCGTGGGGTCGTGCACTGTTGGGGATTGGGACTTAGTCCATCCCAAATGACTATTTTACCGCGTATTTGATTGAAAACTATTTGCTATCATCATGTTTTGGGCTGAATGCCATAATTTGGCTTCGTGCCAACTATTTGAACCCTCATGGGATTTTTATTGATATTTCCTCACTGTTTTGACTTTATACTTGAACTCAGTCATGTTATATTCTACTGTTTTTCACAACTCAGCCACGTTTACTCTGCTTTAACACTTAAATGATATTTTGGGCTGAGCACTATGTTTTACTGTTGCCCGAATGGCTGTGAGATTCTGACTGAGTAAGGCCGAGGGCCTATGTTGTGAGGAAACGTTGATTAAGATTATGAGGCCGAGAGCCTCAGATATGTTAGCCACGAGGTGACTTGGTTATATGAGGCCGAGAGCCTAGTGATGATGCCACGAGATGGCTTGATATTCCGCTTGAGCCGTAAGGGGCCCCTACAGGAGTTTGCACATCGCCAGTGAGCGCGGGTACCCATTATGATGTGAGATATAGTCCGAGAGGCTGGTGTTGTTCTATGATTTTGCCCGAGGGGCGACCCTTTATGTGTTTATCTTTTCCTATTTGCCTATCATTTGCTTGCTTAATTGTTAAAAAGACATTTTATGAAGTTTAAACTTAATTCAGTAATTTTACACATCTTTACTGCTTCACTATTTTGCTGGCTTTTACTGCTTCCTTATAACCTATGATGTGCCTTACGTGATTTCTTGCTTTCATTCTTTATTTATGATTATTACTCACTGAGTTGGAGTACTCACTTAACTCCCTTCACCCCGTGTGCAGATTCAGGCGCATCTGGTCCCGCTACCGAGTGTTGATCTTTCCAGCTCAAGTGAATTCGAAGATTCTCTAGGTAGCTGCCGGCGTTCGCAGCCCAGAGCTTCTTCCCTTATCTTATTTTTCCATGTTTTAGACCTGTATTAAACTATGTAAACTTTCTTGTCTTATTCCAGATTTTAGATGCTCATGACTAGTGACACCCGGTGTCGGGCTGTGTTGGATTTTATTTCGGCAAATCGTAATTTTCACTGCTTATCATTTTGGTATTATTATTATTATTATTATTATTATTATGTTTAAGGCTTAATGCTTATTATTTTAAATTGCTTAAAATTGAAATGGGAATGTGTCGGTTGGCCTTGTCTTCACGAGAGGTGCCATCACGATCGGGTCCAGATTTAGGGTCGTGACAAGTTGGTATCAGAGCCTAGGTTATATAGGTCTCACGAGTCATGAGCAGGTTTAGTAGAGTCTTGCGGATCGGTACAGAGACGTCTCTATTTATCCTTGAGAGGCTCCAGAACCTTTAGGAAAAATTTCATATTCTTGAAATTCTTATCGTGCGAATTGGTTGATCCGAGTACTAAACTTCTGTTATTCTATTCTCTCACAGATGGTGAAGACACGCACTACCGGTTAGGATGGACGATTACCAGTTGTGGCCACTAGAGGCCGAGGACGCGGTCGCGGTAGGGGCAGAGGTGTGGTCCGCACAGCAGCTAGAGCAGCACCTACAGATCCACTAGCCGCCCCAGTTCAGGATCAGGTCCCAGTTGTGGATGCTCCAGCAGCACCAGCTGAGGCACCAACTGTGCGCATTGTGATTCTGGGTCTTCAGGAGGTCTTGGCTCAGATTCTATCAATTTGCACTGGCCTAGCTCAGGCGGTTTCAGTCACTACAACTACAGCTACTTCTTAGGCCGGGGGAGGCACTCAGACTCCCGCCGCTCGCACACCTGAGCAGGTCGTGCAGGGACTTCAGACACCGGGGGCACATCCAGCCCAGCCGGTTGCAGCTGCTCAGGACTATATACTTCCTTCCATGCCAGAGGATGAGCAGCGTAGGTTGGAGAGGTTTGGTAGACTTCAGCCTCTGACCTTCAGTGGTGCAGGGGGCGAGGATGCCCAGGGTTTCTTGGATAAGTGTCAGAGGATGCTTTGTACATCGCGTATTTTGGAGACCAGCGGGGTCGCTTTCACTACTTATTAGTTTTCTGGAGCTGCCTTCACTTGGTGGGAGACTTTTGAGAGGTGTAGGCCTGTTGGTGCAGCACCCTTTACCTGGCAGCAGTTCTCCGTTCTCTTTCTGGAGAAGTATGTGTTGTAGTCTCATAGAGAGGAGCTGCGCAGGCAGTTTGAGTGGTTGCGTTAGGGAGAGATGATTGTGATGCAGTATGAGATGAGGTTCTCTGAGTTAGCTCGCCATGTGATTTGGTTGGATCTGACAGATAGAGAGAGGATTAGGAGGTTTGTTGATTGCCTCACTTATCAGCTTCGTATTCTTATGACCAGGGAGAGCACTACTAGAAACACATGGATTTCCCACGGCGAAATCAGTGGGAAAATCAAGTTTTCACACTGCATTCCCACCGAAAGGAGTCAACAGGAAAATGCCTAATGGGAAATATCTTCCCAGAGAAGCGGTGGAAAATTTCCCACTGTTTTCCCTGAGAAACTTTAATAGAAAAAATAATGAAATTTCCCACCAACAATTAGTGGGAACTATTATTAGTAATTTTTATTAATTTTAATACACTAGCCAGGGAAGTGATGAGAAAAATGCACGGAGAGCTGGAAATAAAGTATGAACTTTCCCACGGATAACCGTGGGAAATATGCAAGTTCTGAAAAATAAAGTATGAACATTTCTACCGATATCCATGTGAAATGTGTTAATTCTGAAAATAAAAGTATGAACTTTCCCACCAATATCATGGGATAAATGCAAATTATGAAAAAACGTATGAACTTCCCACCGATATCAGTGGAAAATATGCAAGTTCTGCAACAAAAGTGACGAACCTTCCCACGAAATCAGTGGCAATTCCGTGGGAAATCTGGAAATTATTTTTGTTTACAATGCTGTAAACATACTGCACCACTTGCCAAACAAAAAAATACAACCACCAACAACCTAAATACAATTAAACATTCGCACATAAAAATCAGCATCTTCCGATCCATTTCATTAATTAACAACCAACCAAAACTGAAAATACTAGAAACCAATAATGCAACTTAACATTCAAATAAGAAATTCAGCATTCAATCTTATCCAATTGATACATAACATCCACCATCATAGTCCTACCCAAAATCATATTAATAAAAGAAACTACTCCTTAGTCTTGTTAGAGCGTGATGGAGAACGTGGCACGGGAAATCCACCAGATGCTAAGAGGTAGTTTAGCTGGGCCTTGAGGCTTTCAACGTCACCAGTGACACGTGTAAATGCAGCATCCTTTCGCCTCATTTCTTCATCCCTCTGCCTATCTTCTTCCTCCCTTCGCTTTGCCTCCTCCCGCGCAGCCCTCTTTACTGTGCATACAACTCAGTGATCTCTGCTATTCTTCTATTCAATAGCTCAAACTCATCTTGATTAATCGAGGACTTTGAGGAAGAAGAGCCATCGACCGACGACTAGAACTAAACTCTGATCCAAGGCCGTAAACTATTCCCTTATGTACGCCACTAGCCGCCTTAATCCACAAATCCATATAATTCTCCTGGGATGGTTGGATTTGCTTTCCTTGATCATCAGTTGGTTGGCTTTGAATGAACTCCTCCAAGGATTGTTTGAAAGTATTCTGCATTACAACTATTATATGAATAAATTTAATTAATGAAAAGTATTAAAAAGTAACTTGAAATCTTACATAGGTTGTCTCGGCCCGTGGCTCGATCCAAGTTGTCTTTGTTTCATCCTCTAGCTTGATCATATGTGTATGCTCAAATACCTCATCTTGAGTAGCTGGTCTTTTTAAAGACTTTTCCTGTTAAATAAAATATGAAAAAAGCAAAATTAAAGTGCTATGTCCATGAAACGGTTCTCTATTCTTGAAAATGACCGGCAGCCGCATCTCATAATCTTCGATTTCAATATAGACTGTTCTGCTTAAAGCATTCAAATCCATATATATCCAAAACTCCAATTTGTATCCGGAAATCAGGATCTTGCCCAATATCTTTTCAACTGACCAATCAAATAATTGGGCATAAACAAATCACAAGTTTTCAAAAAACCTCGGAAATTCCAACTTCTCTATTCAATAATCAAACAAAATTTCCAGGATAGTATTTTTATCAACTACCTCAAGAAGAATTAGCCACGAACAAAAACGGTTCTCAGATAGAGACATTCAAGAACCTAATTAAACAACCCATGAACTCATTAACTGCTCTCCACCTACATTATCTTTAGTCAAAAAAGAAAGAAGCCCAGATCCCACATAGTACAAAATAACTGGTGAATCTTAGCTTTGTTCACTCTATACTACAATGCCAATTACTTTAACAGAAAACAAAGATTCCAATTACTTTAAAATTTTTACAGAGCATGAAAGCTAATACTCTAAAATCTACCTCTATGCAATAATGAAACAAGAGAGTAGAGAGAAAATGTGGAATTGTAATATGAAATATCAACTTAAGTCTAAACTCTATACTATTACTACTACAAATGTAGCATGCTAACACTACTACCCCAAAATATTATGTATAAGTATGGAACATTAAGGTACTGAAATCTATCATACTACAATTATATGCATAAAACCAACCTACCCATTTTGTTTATGAATGTTCAAACAAAAGCAGAAGCACAGAAGAACTAATTGTAATTACCTTATAAGTAACTTAATTGTATAAACACAGTCCACAAATTGGTAAGTAATGCATCTTCTTAACTGTAACTTTTTTACCTTTGGCATTTGTGACTTCCTTAAAACGAGACAGTCCACAAAATTTGCACGCTTCTAGAGCCGCATCATCTTTATAATATAACATACAACCATTTTCACAACAATCAATTTTTGTTGAGGAAAGTCCTAACTTGGAAACCAATTTCTTTGCTTTATAGTAATCATTGGGTAAGTTAATGCTAGGATTAACTTCACACATGAGCCCAATTATAGTACTCATGCCCGCTTGAGAAATATTCCAATCTGATTTAATAGTTAGTAATCTAATTGCAACAGACAACTCAGAGTGCATTGAGTCTTTATAGAGTGGATGACTAGCCGACTCTAATGATTCATAGAAGCGTTTTGCCTCATCATTGGGAGGCTCAACAACATTTTGTTGTGATTGAACCCCTGGGTAAAAACCAAAAGCATCTGACACCATTTCATGTAATCGAGAATTCTCAACATTATTCTCCATTTGTGTACTTTCACCACTAACTAGATTTTGAAAATGAACATCACCAACACTACAATAGTTCTCTCCATGAACAGTCCACATATAATAATTTTCCCTAAACCCCTTGCTATAAAGATGATCTTTAACATTTTCTGGTTGCAACAACTTTGTACACTTGCATTTCACACAAGGACACCTAATTGTTCCTTCGTTACGAAATTCAGGAAGTGTTTTTGCATGAGCAATAAATCCTTTAACACCTTCAACAAATTCTTCCTTTAAGCCACAACGATTAGGATGATTCCTATCGTACATCCATCTACGATGTTCATGTTCCATCTAGTACACAAATAAATGAATAGACTTGTAACAATTTATTTGTTTCAAGTTAGTTTACAGTTAATCTTGAATAGTATACCTTAAAGAACTCACTTAGTTTACAATTAATTATGAATAATATACCTTAGAGAACTAACTTTTATTCGTCTTTTTATAAGTCAAGAAAAGTCAAACCAAGATTCTAACACATTGGTTATTATCCATAAATAAATTTAAACTTGAAGGATAGATATAAGTTACCTCAAGACTTGTAACTTGATTTTGTCTTCTTTCACACTTTTGTATCTTCAATTCTTGGTCCAATTTTCAAAAGGAGTAAAAGAGATGATAATTATACTTAAAAAATGCTGATAATTATAATTTTCAAAAGGAGTAAAATGGTCTTTGGCCAAGTGGTACAAAAGCAAGAAGCTTGAAACGTAAATGTGTTGCACCTAAATCTGAAGACCAAAAAGTAGAGAATGTGATAATTTCCAATAATATTGTATGTATTCAATATACGTATGCAAGGATGAGATTTAATTTAAAGCTTTGGCTCTATTTATATTGCCTCCATGACTGTCAATTGCAGCCACTAGAGTATCACACTAATAGCATTTTTCAAACACAAATGTCATTTATTAACTAACAAATTTCAATCCTAATAGCATGGGGGTACGGTAGAGCCCAAATTAAGAAAAGAAGTCAGTTGGACAACAATATCGCTCCTAAACCCAAACTACATAAAAATGAGAATTGGAACGATAATTCACTCTATCTAAAGAAACTCTTCCTATTTCTGCAGTCTCAAAGAAACTTTTCCTATTTCTTCACATATGGCTAAATCTACTTTTTCTTTATGAGATTTTCTTGAAAAGAAAGAAAGATAGGATTAATTAAAGACATATCTCCTTCCCTTTGTGTATTGAATTGAGTGGAAAGTTTCTGAATTGGAAATTGCATAAATAGTTTTGCTTGACATTTTTTAAACGACCAAACAAATTGATTCTTGATAGAAATAATGTTAATGACTATTCAGTAAGCCGGCTGCAGGCCAACCAATGTTCTCAGTACAACACCTATCTGATATGCAAGCAATTGCCAAAACTAGAACTATATTGCAAGATGGCATGGAGTTTTGGAGTAAACACTTTTCCTATTTGATGAAATATGAATATCTTAGGAGGTTAGATCCTCCCCCCCCCCCCC